AATCAGGAATCTGCACCCGGGAGGAAGGAGAGCAGGGTCAGTTCTGCGTGTGCCGGTCGCTGCGGCTGCCCCTTCCTCCCCACCCGCCTCGGGACCGTGCCCAGAGCTTTGTCGGGGGTGCGATAGTTAGTGAATGAAGAGATGTCGTGTGTGTTTGTCTGCCGGGAGCAGTGGCTCACGCCTGTCATCCCAGCAACTCTGGGAGGCCGAGGCTTGAGGATCGCCCGAGGTCAGGAGTTCGAGACCAGCCTGAGCAAGAGCAAGACCCCGTCTCTATTAAAAATAGAAAGAAATTAGCTTGCCAACTAAAAATATATATAGGAAAAAAATTAGCCGGGCATGGTGGCGCATGCCTGTAGTCCCAGCTACTCAAGAGGAGGCTGAGGTGGGAGGATCACTTGAGCCCAGGAGTTCAAGACCAGCCTGAGCAAGAGCGAGACCTTGTCTCTACTAAAAACAGAAAGAAATTGGCTTGCCAACTAAAAATATATATAGGAAAAAATGAGCCGGGCATGGTGGCTTACGCCTGTCATCCCAGCACTCTGGGAGGCTGAGGCAGGAGGATGGCTTGAGCCCAGGAGTTCGAGACTAGCTGAGCAACAGCGAGATCCCGTCTCTACTAAAAACATAAAGAAATCAATTGGCCAACTAAAAACATACAGAAAAAAATTAGCCGGGCGTGGTGGCGCATGCCTGTAGTCCCAGCTACTCGGGAGGAGGCTGAGGCAGGAGGATCGCTTGAGCCCAGGAGTTGGAGGTTGCTGTGAGCGAGGCTGATACCACGGCACTCACTGTAGCCCGGGCGACAGAGTGAGACTCTGTCTCAAAAACAAAAACAAAAACAAAAAGAAACTGGGCTTAGAGGACTCTGGGGTCCTTTTCTAGCCACTGTCCTGCCAAGACCTTGCTCGATGGATGTACAAGGAGGTCTCTCCCAGCTCTGGATGCAAAGCACTGAACCAAGTGCATCAGGAACAGCCGAGGCGTAGGCCAGGCGCAGAGGCTCACGCCTGTCATCCCAGCACTCTGGGAGGCCGAGGCGGGAGGATCGCTCGAGGTCAGGAGTTCGAGACCAGCCTGAGCAAGAGCGAGACCCCGTCTCTACTAAAAACATAGGAAGAAATTAGCTGGACAACTAAAAATATATGGAAAAAATGAGCCGGGCGTGGTGGTGCATGCCTGTAGTCCCAGCTACTCGGGAGGAGGCTGAGGTAGGAGGATTGCTTAAGGCCAGGAGTTGTTGGAGGCTGCTGTGAGCGAGGCTGACGCCACGGCACTCACTCTAGCCCGGGCAACAGAGGGAGACTCTGTCTCAAAAACAATAAAAAAAATATTGATAGAAAAACTAGCTAGGCCTGGTGGCATGTGCCTGTAGTCCCAGCTGCTGGGGAGCCTAAGATAGGAGGACCGACTGCTTGAGGCCAGGAGTTTGAGGTTGCAGTCAGTTATGATAATGCCACGGCACTCTAGCCTGGGTGACAGAGTGAGACTGTATCTCAAAAAAAAAAAAAATAAAAAATATATTGATAGAAAAACTAGCCGAGCATGTTGGCGTGTGCCTGTAGTCCTAGCTGCAGGGGAGGCTGAGGCAGGAGGATCACTGAGCCCAGGAGTCTGAGGTTGCTGTGAGCAAGGCTGACGCCACGGCACTCTAACCCGGGCGACAGAGTGAGACTCTGTCATGAAGAAAAACACAAAAGACAAAAAAGCAACTGGTCTGAGCTAGATTTGTCTCTTTCTCTACTTGCTAGAGAGGTGCCTCTATTTACCCTTCAGGATAGAAATCCAGCCATCAGAGAGAAAAGCCCTGTTTTCCCCAAATGCCCGAAAGAAAGGGAGAAACTCTCTCAGGTCAACCCGGGGAGCCTCCGTGCCCGCATTCACCTGTTGTAAGAGCTCGTGGCTCTCCAGAGCTGATTCGGGGAGTCGAAGGTCTGAGCACTCCAGAGAAGCTGCAGGTCGAACTGGATGCCCCCCAGGTGGTCCGGGGTCAGGATGAAGGACTTCGCGTCGGGGAGGGTGTGGTGCTCCATGACAAACTGCCCTGTGTCCCGGAAAAACAGG